TAAAGATGATAGTGCATGGTGTGGTCAAGGTTCAGTACTTCACCCTACCCCCTCCCTCTATTGAAATGCCCCCCCCCCCCCCCCCATTAAAATCAAGAGTAATTTGGGGATGGTGGTATTTTGTTGTGTAGGACATGATGTGTGTTCCGAAATGATGCAGGGTATCTGTCAAGTGATATATGAAATGAGATCTGGATCCAGGTGATAGTCATGACTTCCAGTCTGAATCATCATGAAGACAATGGATTGAAGGGTTTAGAATGTGCACCCTTCCCCCTTCTGTGACCCTCCCCACTCTTCTAGAACACATTTAGAGCAATTCCTCACAAAGCTGTATTCATAAAGTACATTGCAATCGAAAAATTGGGCCAGTATTTTTTTCTCCAAGGAATCTTCACAACGCATTTAAAATATCATGGTTAAAATTGCATCGGAAAGTTTGTCAATTTCATCACCCCGCCCCCCCCCCCCCCACCCCCGCCCCATCCGAACCCGAGTGCGAAGCGTACCCAATTTGAAACTCGGAGGGACGCTTCCCCTGAACGCTCGCAAAACGAACGACCTGGCACGGTTCGATACGGTTCGGTACGGTTCGCTTACAAAAACACCCCTTACACTGAAGCGCAGGGCCTACTTCCTGTGATTTTCCCAGTTACAAAAAAATAAAAATAAATCAACCTTCTTCCCTTTAGAGAATTTAGGGGCCGTTCAATATGCGAGTTTGTAATAAGGATTTGCGCATTGGCAGATGAAGGTCATTCGTTCCCAACCATTGAAACGAATAATGGTATCGTGCTCATGAAAGTTATATAATCAGTATTCATGTATGCACCGACAGTACATCTATATGATACACAGGTGAAAGTATTCTTCTCATGAGGCAAACAAAACGTATTCACGAAGCACCTCCATCACTTCGGCAGTGATTATTCTAAAATGCACAAGAGGGACGTATCTATCGTGCGAAAGATCTGTGGATAATTTAGATTTATGCGTTCCAAAGCTATTTACGAACTGGCTTATAGCCCCTAATGGTAATCTTGAAGGAGGAACTGATGGGAGAAGAAAGAGGGGCAAAAGAACTAAAAATCTGGATCGATGGTATAAATCAGTGGACTGGAAATTCATTTTATCAGCTAATTAAAACAGATGAAGACAGGACGTTATGGAAAACCTGTGTCTCAAGGTCCATTTCATTGTCGCCTCCAACGGCCTCCAACCTACATGTATGGGACCAGATAGATCAATATTACCTATAGCATTAATGAAAAATTAAGACTATAAAACGAAGGGCATACCCCCATCGATTTCCTTAGAGTGGTATTTGCTAAACATTGAGATGTTTGGATGTTTTATCCTTGTATTCGTACTATACTTAGAAGATACAATACCACTACCACTGACACTAACAACATCAAACACTGCCAATATACCACTGCACCATGTTTAGTCATTGGCTACCAAGTCTTTTTAGAAGTGAGGTGATGATTGCTCAATAGCTCGGGGATAATCACCATTCCCCATTGGTACCACCATTCCATTTCATTTCGTAAATTTCCTTCAGAAGGTTACCTTACGTTGTCGAGCGTTACATTCTCTTTTCACCCAGCCTTTGATTCCAGGGTCCCCCTTCGCTCCAGGCAAAAACGAAGTTCAAAATGTCAAGATTTGTTTTCAATTTCAGTTTTCAATGGGAGGCCCAATTTGGGAGAAAAAGGGGTTAGGGTATAAATATAATATGCTTATGCCTCAGTCACATCTCAAAACCTACTGGGTTTTCCCATTCGGTTATTGATGCATGAACCGTAGACTTGGCTTTTCGACTCTGCTGCTCGAACACAAAGCTTTCTGATCACTCGTTATATACGTAAATAGCTACAGGCGCGGATCCAGGGGGGGGGCCGAGTGGGCCTTGGCCCCCCCCCCCGCAAAAAAAGGAGACAGAGAGAGGGAAAAGAAGGGAAAGGGAAAGAGGAGAGAAAGGGGAAAAAGAAGACGAAGAAGAAAGGAAAAGAGGGATGAAGGAGATCGGGGAGGTGGGGCAAAAGGACTTGCCTCCCAGGCTGTTGCCTCCCCCCAATCAAAAATAAAATAGAAGGAAGGAAAGGGAAAGATAAAAGAAGAAGAGGAGATAAAGGGAAGGAAAAAAGAGGAAGAAGAAAACAAAAGAAGGGGGATATCAGTTGCAATTTTCCCGCCAACAGATTGTGGATCGGGGGGGGGGGACAAAAGGCCCTTGCCTTAAAAGAGGAGAGCTAAAAGGGAACAAAAAAGAGGAAGAAGAAAGAAAAAGTAGAAAAGGAAGGGAGATCAGTTGCGGTTAATCCCGCTAACAATGTGTGGAGCGGGGTGGGGCCAAAATGACCTTGCCCTCCTCCAGCAAACATAAAAGAGAAAGAAGGAAGGGAAGGGAAAGGAAAAGAGGAGGGAAAGGGAAAGAAAAAGAAAGAGAATGAAGAAAGGTAAGGGATATCAGTTGCAATTTTCCCGCCAACAAGGTGTAGATCGAGGGGCCAATTAGTAACCTGCCAGTGTCACAATTAGGTATCAAAATAATGCTTATCTGACCGTAATTAAATGTATAAAACCCCTAAACTTCGGGGGCTCTGCCCCTGGACCCCGCCGATGGCCCTAAGGCGGACCCCTGAGTGCTAATCTGACCGTATATTATTGCCTTAAACCCCTGAGCTTCTGGGGCGGACAAGGTATCAACATATGTTCATCTGACCGCAGGCGCGTAGCCAGGGGGGCGGTGGGGTGGTCCCCCAAAAAATACCGGCCAAAAAAGGAGTGAAAAGGAAAAGGAAAAGTAGACAAAGAACATTTTGAAATTCAGACAAGGATTAAGAGACGAAAACGTTACAACGATTCGTCTTCTTTCTCTAATAATTTAATGAAACGTAAAATCTTCCGCGCTTCGCGCGAGAGGGGGAACCTGAATTTAGACGAAGATTATTTTTGGGAACGGTACAACGAATCGTCTCCTTTCTCTAATAATTTATTGAAATGTCAAAGCTTCCGCGCTTCGCGAAGGAGGGAGGGGAAAAACTCGTCCCTCCCTGCACCCACCCCTCCCCCCCCCCCAATTACATCACTGCTGGTCACCATTACGTACCAATATTTGGTTCGCATAATTTCAAATTTGGGCCCCCTAAGAAATCCTGGATCCGCGCCTGGTCGGCCGTCTGGTTGCTTTCTTACAAGCATTTATGCTTTTTTAGCAGTAAGGTAAAATAACCACCTAATAACCATCAATGACATGGGAGATAAAGTAATACCATATGGCACTTGTGTTTAAAGGAGAGTTGGTTTCTGTGGCCAAGAAAAGTTCTATCTATATGTAAATGAGACAAAATGTGAAGGTATAGAAAATCCACATTTTTAATCACGAGTTAAATTATATGTTGATATGTGTATGTGTTTTTACGCGTAGATCATAATCAAAATATTATACACGGTTCAGCATTTGCTCAAAAAGCTATATAGGCCATGATTAAGGAACAACGTACCATAACTCGACTGTCTCCAATAACATTGATAGCGGCTTCGGAGAGGATCTCCTAGTAAACCTATACACGACTTTTTGTTAGCAATGGAATCCAATGACCGGGGTAATATGTAAGGCGTTTAGACACATAGGAGCTCTATACAAACGTGACTATTATCTTTAAACTTGAAATCCATTTTACATAACCCAAGAAAATTTCAGACAAAATCCATTAAACTATAACTCCAAAGCCTGTGCCTAAATTAAAAACTTTAAAAACACCCACTAGTAGATAGAAACGCACTCTCTTGAATGCTATCATTATTTTTGTAATTAGATTATCCAAAAACTCTGTGGAAACAACATTTCCCATACGATGAGGTAGAGTAATTGAGTGCCTAAAACCCTTGGGCTTCCAAGGGCTCCGACCCCTGAACCCCACGCCAATTAGGGACCTGCCAGTGTCACAATTAGGTATCAAAATAATGCTCATCTGACCGTAATTAAATGCCTAAAACCCCTAAACTTCCGGGGCTCTGCCCTCTGGACCCCGCCTAGGGCCCTAAGGTGGACCCCTGAGTGCTAATCTGACCATAAATTATTGCCTTAAACCCCTGACCTTCCGGGGGCGGACAAGGTATCAACATAATATGTTCATCTGACCGCAGGCGCGTAGCCAGGGGGGCAGTATGGTCCCCCAAAAAACGCCGGCCAAAAAAATAGAGGAGTAAAAAGGAAGAGGACGTATGAAGAAAAGGGTGTAGACAAAGAACATTTTTGATATTCAGACAAGGATTAAGAGTCGAGAACGTTACAACGATTGGTCTTCTTTCTCTAAAAAATTAATAAAACGTCAAAGGGGGGGAACGAAATTTAGACAAGGATTAAGAGTCGAGAACGGTACAACAAATCGTCTTCTTTCTCTAAAGATTTAGTGAAACGTAAAATCTTTCGCGCTTCGCGCGGGAGGGGAGAAACTGAATTTAGACGAAGATTAGGAGTCGATAACACGACACAGTAAATCGTCTTCTTTCTCTAATAATTGGATGAAACGTTAAAGCTTCCGTGCGAGGGGGGGGGGGACATAAATCAGACGAGGATTATTTTTGGGAACGGTAAAACGAATCGTCTTCTTTCTCTAATAATTTATTGAAATGTCAAAGCTTCCGCACTTCGCGGAGGATGGTGGGTGGAAACACGTCCCTCCCTGCACCCACCCCCCTAATTATATCACTGCTGGTCACCATTATGTACCAATATTTGGCTCGCATAATTTCAAATTTGGGCCCCCCCCCCCCCTAAGAAATCCTGGATCCGCGCCTGAATAGCTAATACCCAGTGACACTGTTGGGACGTAACTGACTTTTCTAAATTATAGGAGTGTGGTGTATTGATTTGTTTTTAAAGGTACTAACGAATTCAACACACCAATCAATCAATCACGGCGACTCAACAGCCCACTTTTTAACTATGTGATCTCTCAGAATAAATAATGAACTTGGAAACAAAATAATTACAGTTCAGTGAATTCAATTTATAATCTAACAATTGAACTGGTATCACATTTTACAAAGTAAAGATGTATGTAATTATAAGTGAAGAAAATCCTGACTGGTCAATAAATTGAACACAGTACCAAAGTATCAATGTAAATATTCCTTACACTTATTAATTCATACAAACAACGTATTCCGTTTTGCTTGAATAAAAAATAGAATGAACTTTTTATTTGACATATATGAGATAAATAATGAGATATCAAACTTCAATGTCTTTCAAACACGCTGCGGAGACTTATCGACGGAAAAAGTCAATTGAGAGCCCTTCCCTTCAGTCAATTGAGAGCCCTTCCCTTAGGAAAAGAGAGCTAATCTACCAAGTAAGAAAGTATAGAAAAAAACGTGGCAACATTGATTTTGACGACTGTCAATGTACTGCTTCAGATAAGCTGAAATGTTCGACGTCCTGAACCTCGACGAACTACATGTAGTCTAGGAGCAAAGATCCATGGTGGAAATTGTCGATACTGGTAAAATGAACTCGGCGACGATGTAAATCTCGTTGGCCAGTTGAACCTATTGTTATTAAAATAAAATAGACATAGTTTGTCCGCAATACACCTATACACACTATCATCGTCGAGCAAGGGCAAACAACCTCAAAATGTATAACAGCATATAATTTCATATCTCATATAATAAAGGTATTACAAATGTAATAACTATTATAAGTAGTATTTCTTAAACAAGAAATACAAGTATATACTCTCGAGAAATTCGACAAGAATGACTTTCACAATTGTCAGGGACAAATACCAATGTGCACTCTCATGACTTTAACAAAAATTGGAAAGAAATTCACAATATTGACAACTGAATATCGCTAAAATTCAAATACATTACTATTTTCGTTATGACTGTTTATAAAGAAGACGATGTTTCTTGTAATGAATGAAAATAAAGTCGTCTACAAACATATTATATTAATTTAGTCCAATAACTTTGTCAAGAAACCACTTATAACTTTCTCTTTCGCTAAATATGGCAATCATAAATTACAGATTACATACCCGATAAGTACCAGGAAAAACTTAGAGATGAGTTACAAAGCAGCTGTCAGAAAACATCCATTTCTCCTGCTCTACACAAGAGTGAACTGAGCCTGCCCAGACAGACTAGTGAAAATGGTAGCTGTTGGGAGCTATCCCGAAGATCTCGGGAAGAAAATTGATTCGAATCCCCGTGGGGAAAGATGTAACCAAATAAGTAATTAAGTGTAGCTGGTCATGTATCAACAGCCAGGATACTGCTCTGCTCTGAGCTAAACGTTATGGAACCTAGGAGTTAACCCACGGAACCGACGGAAACGCCCCCAAAAGGGCGAGTTCTCATTGGTTATTTTCCGTAACCAAGAATAACATTATTTACATAATAAATTACCGTCTGTGTCTTGAAAATACACCTGTATCTTCTTTTGAATTAACCGTGTCTTGAAATACCAGATTGCGTTAAAGTTGAGTTTACACGGTAACACATGAAATTAAAATTAATACATCAGTAATTTCCTGATTTCATAAATAAATTGAGAAATCGTCACTACAACACCACCGAACCGAATCCACTCTGAATCCAAACCGACCAATCATTGGCCTGTTGTGGTAAAGTAATGGTTTGTTCGGTCTGTTATCGAATTGGGCCCTGTTTCATAAAAGTTGTTATCAATAACAAGTTACAAGCTACTGTTATAAGCTACTGAAATCATGGCATCTGATTGGCTGAGAGCAAATTTGTCATAGAAATTAAGTAGTTGTTATAGACAACAAGTTTTATGAAACAGGCCCCTGGTGTTGTTCTTGTCGGTGTGACTCGTTATTGGTGCATGAACCGTTGGCTTGGCTTTTCGACTCTGCTGCTCAAACCATAGACGTAATACAATTACGTCTATGCTCAAACACAAAACCTTTTCAAACCTAGTCACTCGTGACTATACCTAATATCCAGTGACTCCGCCGAACCGACGCCACACCGAAGCCAAAGCAATCGTTGACTTATCGTGGTAATGTAATAGGCCATTTTCGTAATGTAACCGAATGAATGCAAAAGTGTTTGTCAAGTGCCTCAATAAAAATTATTTCGTTAACCTGTTAGGAATAATAGTATTTCAATAATCAGAATGCAACTGTATATATTAAGTGTTGCTAGGTAGGTCAAGCCATAATGTTTGTCCAACCTGGCAACAACTGATGTATGAAGTTTGGATTCTGTCTATTGATATACTATTATTCCTATCAGGTGAATGAATTATGCATTAAATTTGGTTACGTTACGAAAATGACCTATTGTTTGATCGGTCTCTCGTCAGTCCGTTGGTGTGATGGAGACATCAGTCACACACCCAAAGCGACTCAAGACCGACCAATAGACCAGTTCACGGTTAGCACATTACTGCAATTACCCCAAATATCCACAGATCTTCAAAACATGAAGAGGTCCCACTTTGTACATTCTGAAATAATCACTCCTACAGCGATGGAGGTGCTATATAAAAGCCATTGTTTCCTCTTTTCAAAGAATACTTCCACCTGTGTATCATGGAGTGCACTGAATGTGCATGAATAAATAATGATTACATAACTTTCATGAGCACGTATCCAGTATTTCGTCTCCGTGTGTTTCAAAATTTGTTCTGCAATGACCTTTATCTGCTCATGCTCAGACTGCAACCGTGAACTGGCTTATTCTTGACAACAGGCGTAATGTTAAGATTGTGTCAGTTGTCGGTTTGGCATAGGAAAGCTTTATTATGGAAGTACTGATCTAAATCCTGCACAAATTGTGCATTCTATTATTCAAAAATATTTAAGTTTAGCACATTTATTTACCTTCGTTTATTATTGACTTTAGCTTTCATGAAGTGGACAATAATGGAAAAGAACAATTAAACGGGTTGTTACAAAACAACTTGTAAAGAGAGGAGAGGGGCATTTGAGGATTCCCATCACATGCACATGACTACTTGGGGTAAACAATATTAGCCGGTGGTTTTGAAACGAAAATAAGTTTAGTGTTATTCTGGGGGTTAAAAGCTTTCTATTGATTTAATTATCTCATTATTTGGGATTGTTAACTTTAACAAGATATGAAGATTGTAGAAACGTAAAATAAAAGCTGACTCTGTTTGCCTGCAAATAATATAAAAAAGTTATAAAACATTATTTACAAATAAATACACATTAATCTTACAAACTCCAGGCTGGTAGCATAACTATGTTTTACTGAATGTATAGGGATTAACTGGGTGTTGAAGAGGTGGGTCCAGGCGCGCCGGAAGCAGTTTGGGATTGGGGGGGGGGGGGCAAACACTCCAGGGGTCTCACTTTCCAGGGGCAGTGGCGTAATGAGATAAAAACGTTTGGAAGGGCGGGGGCAGAAGAAAAATCTGCATCACCACCACTCTTACACGTTACATGCTGGCCCCGCGGAACGTTTTTCAAAGTGGAGTATTAACGATCAAGTAGAGCGTAAATTGGGGTGGGGTCCAGGGGCTGAGCCCCCGGAAGCTCAGGATTTTTAGGCATTAAATTACGGTCAGATAAGCATATTTTGATACCTCATTTGTGACATTGGCAGGTCACTCATTTTTTCTCTCTCTCTTTCTTTCTTTTTCTTTGTGACATACTTTTTCAAAAATTGTGGGGGGCTCGAGCCCCATAGCCCAGCCGTTCTGCAGGCCCTGACATGAGGGCCTCTAAATTAGCATATTTTTTGCCCGACCGTAAATTTGGGAATTTCTAATTTTCCAACAAACGCATAAAAGGGTATGACTTACCCCCAAAATGAGAAAAAAATACCAGAAAATCATGTCATTTCAGCAACACTTTTAAATCACTGGTATCGAATAAGAAATAACCCCCCCCCCCCCCACCCCATCAGTACGCCAGTGTTCAGGGGCTCATGTCTTCTCACCCCTATAACATAAAACACACAGGCTTTCCCATTCTCTCATAATATTTCCACGATATGCGCGTATCGTTATTATAAAAACCTCCATTGTTAAATATAGGTGGCATGCGGAATGTTTAGGAAATGTAATTCTTTTTAACTTTCCTTTTCTTTGAATGGAATTGGATATGTGATTTAATTCAGGTTTTTATTATTGTTATGTGTTTTGGGGTTAAAAATACAAACCATTTTTACTCCTTTACTGCTTTTTTGTGAGGGGGGCGCAAGTGCCTCCCCTGCCCCCTCCCACTTCCGGTGTCTATGGGTGGGTCTTTAGTAGTCTTCAGTGAGGGATCATAGATAAACATGGGCAGATTGCTCCAGATAGTTCAGAATGTTTCGGGGTCATGTGTCATATGTGCCTCCGTACCCCGGTCGCACATCTCCCAGGCACGTAACTTAAAGGTACTATGTCCCATTTGCAGGCCAAAAAAATGAAAAAGTTAAATTCCAACTGCATTTGAAAGATAATACTAATTTAGAACTTCCCTAAAAAAGGTGGGGTTTGAAAATGTCTTTAAAGGTAAAGACCAGTATTGGAAACGCCCCAATTTCAAAAAATGAAATGGAAGCTCTCATTACCAATCATGTGAAAGAATATGTTTTGACTAATACATGATGATAAAAAATTTGCCGGGAAACCGCCTACTAATTCATATATTTGGTAAATTTGTTTCTCTCATGGTCTGTGAGAGATATAGGGTAGTCCCATATACATCTTTCTGTGTATAGTGCTTGTAACTTTACAAAGAATGGGCCAAATTTCTTATCATTTTGATGATTCCAGAACCTTGCAGATGCTAGATGATCAACCTTTTCTGATCGATTCCACAACGTTCTTTCACAATGCAATCGCATGACCATAACTGGTCTTTACCTTTAAGTGGGAAAATAACGACTATTAGTTGTCAAATCGACTTTAGGGCTATAGAGCCCCAAAGTAATAGTCTTGAGTTTCAGACAATTGTACCGAATGGTCATACGTTTTATGCTGCGCAAAGATTCAATCAGTTTAATCTTGGCCATCACAAGAAGTGGGTTATTGATGTAGACAAATGCTCATGTACCCTTTATAACTCTTTTCATGTATGTTATAACTAAAGAAGAAAAAAGCCAGTCAGTCTCTCAATAGTGTCTGACAGTGAAGTCTAGCAAGTAAACGGGTTTCCTTGCATAATTTGAATAAGAGGACACTGCTAACGTTTAAATATCACAGATACGACATACATGACATATTCATAATTCCTGCAAAGTTCTACAGCATTTGAGGTTGGCTGCAAAAGGGAGATAGTACCTTTAACCTATACCTAATCAACCGCAAAACCAGAGAAATATCGCCCAAAAAAAAAAAAAAAAAAAAAACTGGCGTGGTTATTGCTAGGGTCCTTGTGTTGCATGGGTGAATGACAATATGCTTAACCTTGTGTACCTGTATAAGGCTGTGCATCACACAAACAAAATCATTATATCTTGGGCGGTTGAACGGTGTGCAGAGCAGTTAACAAAGTTCGAGAACGACGATGCTGATTTTCGCAATTTTGACTGCCTTTCTGGCCAGTGGGATGGCTAAAAATGCTACGTTTTACAAAGTTGCTGAACCGATAGACGACCACTACATCATTGTAATGAAGGTAGGAGTAACAGCATATTAAACTAGCTTATTTATTTGTATAATAAAGTATCAAAATCCTCAGACAAGCGAGAGAAAAAAGGAAAAATAACAAGAAAAAAAATAAGGGGAAAATAAGGAGTTGCCAGGTTCAGACTTTTTCCTACTGGAAGAACAACTCATTACATTTTCACTTTTACAGAGTTTGCAAAACATACACCCCCTCCCCGAAAAAGGGGCTTTAAAATTCCCAAATTTTCCGCCGAAGAAAAAACATCAGTAGGAGTGTCACACCCTTTACTCCTTAGACACCGTTCCAGGCCATCGGCACTGGCCTACATGTAAATATGGAAGTAGCGATCATAAAGGGGCAAAATTGAGCCTCTGGTGATTCAACTCTGACGAAAACACCGCTATGAGTATATATGTGCACCCCCCTTAGGTGTTTTTTTTAATAATTTAACCTCTTCTGTGACTCTATGTTCATTTACTGTGCTTCTTTGTATTTTTAAAGGGTAGGATTTTTAAAGATCGGACATTTTAAACAGTGTTCTACATTACACATTTTGGCTGTTATTGTGCCGTTACCACTGGCGGGTCTGGGGGTGTTTCAATGACAAGTTACACAAAATCAGTGACAAATCTGCTGATAACCAATCAGAAGCAAGGATTTTACTAGCTTATAACAAAAACTGTCATTTGTCACTAATGAAAAGTTTTATGAAAAAAAACCTGGGGTTTCAAAGGTCGGAGTGGTGCAAACCGCGCCAACTAGCGAAAAAGTGAAAAAAAAAAAAT